TAACTATGGTTTTTATGGATGCTAAAACAATCTACGGACAAGAAGATATCCTGAAAGTGTGTAGCAGGTTACCGGTTAGGAACAATGACAGTCCCGGTCACTAGGCTATTAACTGACGCCATGACAAGCGACATGACTAATCTTGTCTATGATCTGGGAAACGGGTTTACGTTAAAGGACCTGATTATCATCCCATCACAGAATTATAATTGAGGGTCAAGCTCAGGTTTCCCTGACATGGTCCAGAGGAGTTAAAGAGGAACTGCCACATTATAATCTTTGAAAACTTACAGAACCGCTAGCATGAAAAAGACCGTTCATACCCTTTGGCAGAAAATGAGAGCGGAACCTCAAACGTGTGGGGGTCGATCGAGAATTCGACTGATGCCAATTCAAATAATCTACCAGGGGAACAATTTAAGACTTTCGCTCTCATTTGCATCGTTCAAGGTCCAAGATTTGTGGACTTCATGATGGGGTTGACCAACCTCCACGAACAAAATCCCCCAGTAGTACTCAGTGAAATCAAAAACGAATATACTTACTGCATCCACGCGCAGAAAGACTCGACAGGTCGAAATCCATTCCTTCACAGTCAAAGCCGGCAGAGAGATAGGTTTGAGCAAATCAGCCAATGAGAGCAGAGGGACTCCTTTTTCTGCGTTTTTGGTACTTTGTTAGGTTCTGACCATTCAAGATGCATGAGTACAGGAAATGCAAAATCCTGAGCCACTAACATTAGCAACGCCTTCACCTACATGAGAATCTCAAGCCGGGGTTCATTTTATATGACTCAACTTTCACATCGCTTAAACAATGGGCCAATATTCGATGACAGTTTTAGCCAATGGCCGTACAGTACGCCTGCGGTTGGACACGAGTTTACACGTCAATATCATCTTATAGAACTAATGGCGTTCTGTTGGACTGGAAGACCTCTGAAACAGCTATTAGTGACTGTAGTGAAGGCTTCTAACCTCGTTAAAAGATCCATTGCTGTCTCCTTCCACGGACCAGCTTTCATTGGCTAGCGTTATGTCGTAACAACCAATCTCAGTCGAAATTCCGATCAATTCTATTTACAACGCCCTGCCTTCCTTGAACCCACCCTGTAAGAAATCCGCGGACATAAGTAATCAATTAGCTAGGAGTGCAAGATGCCAAACCGATATTTCGTTCAAAGAGACCGGTTCCCTATCAATCGTTACCACTGACACATGCTGAGGTCCAGAGTCTTAAGTGTGAACCAGCTTCAGTTATTGCAGCAAGGAAAGTCAACGACTCAATCCGCATGTGTGGCAAATAAGTTAGCGGCCTCGATGCTGCTTTCAGTCCCTGCGTAATTATGGAGGTCAATTTACACTACTTACGGACCACAAACAGCGAACTGTCAGCAAAGATGGCCGGTTTATTTTGCTGAGATGGGACTTGAAACTCCAGCTTGCCACCCAGAGGACTTTAATCTGACCCAAGTTCGATCACGTTCTCTAAGTAGCCAGCCAACAGCCAGAAAAGAAGTCTTCACAAAGCAAATGGGGCATATTATCACTAGACTACCAGTTTCGGTAGTCGACCTTCAGAAAACAACAGCCTTGGGCCATTTCAAATGCAGGTACAAAAGCGTTCCTTAACTGGTGACCTTCAGCGCGTTGTTAAGTCCAAATTTCATCTTCTGAAATCTCATTCTGAGAACCCACGAATCGGCATAAAGATTTCCATCGTCCACAGCTGTGCCTGTTGGCCGCAAATTGATCATGAATCGCAGCATACCACCAAGAATGCCCCTAACATCTCTCCACAGAAGCTCTGGGCACGAGTCAATATCGGTTTTACAGACCCCAGAACGGAATTCTGTTTCTTGCATAGGTGAATCTTTACTAACTGTGACTTGAAATTGGTCATATGAGGTTTCCAGCTAAAGGGGACAAGGCAGGCGCTGTCAGAATTTTCAGAGAGCACAAGATTTCGGTCAACATCGTCTCGGACAATGGCCCTCAAACGGCATCATAACAATTTCAGGAACTCTGGTGGCAACATGTCATGAGGGATTTCCGTTGCCCCGCCTACCACCCGCAGTAAAACGATCAAGCTGAATCTCGTGGAAAAGGCACAACAGTAATCACCGTCGATAAATTTCATCACGTTCCCGATACATTCAAAGGGTGCGTTCTGGTACTTCAAGACTACCCATGGGTTGAGGGAACCTTCCTACGCCGACACGGCATGGCCATGTTCGAAGTGGAGGTGGGTCGCGACACGTGATCGAGACACTGGGGCGAGCAGCAAGAGAGCACAGTTAGCGAACATGCTTCGATCGATTTATCGTGAATGCCCTTCACACAGCTAAGTGGGTTCAGAGATCAATACCTATTCTGTACAAGAACACAACCCTACTGGATCAATAAAGTAGTTGAGCTACGCGTCATCTGCATTTTGACTCTTCTTTCGGTCGGGCCTTGCCAGTGTAAATCGCCGGCCCCGGTGTGGTTTCCCAAAACCGCACTGGGGCCGCAACAACGTCAACGCTAACTCTGACTCAAAGTGATCATCAGGCCACCGAATCTACAGACAACCAGTCCCTAGATGTCATTGGTACCAACAAAAGAACAACCGGTTGAAGGTCTAATTAGCGCTGAAACGACCACCATCTCTAAGACGAAGCAGTCGAAGACGACGACAGCGAACACTACGGCAGGTTGATCCAAGGAAAAGGTGCTATTAACCTTGTCAAGGAGGAGAGGTGTTGGCAAATCAGCATTCATGGGACCAGTTTTTTAGGAGTTCGACAAACTTATTCTTCGTATAACAATTGCGTGTTTAAACACACCATGAAATGCAGTCAAATCGGCCGCCCGCTTTCTAATTGTACACCAGTCCAACATAGATCCGGTCGTATAAGTTTATTGTTTAAATTGGTTGAAGTTTATTTTCGATGACAAAATTGATTGGATGTTAACTGGCAGCAAGTTGGAAGGGACCTGAACCCAAATAAATACTAGCCTCACGTGGTTGGATGGACCGCGCAAACGTAAATTTGCATTTTCTACCAAAATTTTAACAAGACCTCGTCGATAAGCTTAATTTCGCTGACAGAATCTGATAGTAATGTAACCTAGCACTTTTGCTGCGCTTATAGGCGGGAGTAAATTCAATTTCCTTGACAATGTCTGGAAGGTAAATAGTTGAATTATGCATGAATGATGTGGAGCAACATTTTCAAGGCTGTGAAATCGAAGTGTTGAGATCAGCGTAGATGGAACAATTTTTCGCATATTTACTCACATTCGTGCCAGTGATTTTAAAATCCAAATTTGCTCTGTCCCAGAGTTTGTGCTGTGTTGCAAACTTCTTTAATTCGGGAGAAAATGGTGATTCAGAATTTGAAAACTCCGAATTCTCTTGCAGTGAGTCATTATCGCAACAAACAAATTGCGTTGCCATGGTTACCAATACAGTGAATAGGCCAATAAAACTTTCAGAAAACCATCACAAATCGCACTCAGCATTGTATAAGAAAGCCATAATTTTACTGTCTCCTTCAAAATTGTCCGAAACATTTCTGAAGTACACGTAAGTTAGTGTGGTTCTAACATTTTCAATCACTCGTAGTTTGTCGCTATGGTAACCTGATTAAGCAGCATCTAGAGTTATAATCGGTGGCTTAACTGGGTGGTGTCTGCAAGACATTACCATCAAATTCATGCGTAGAGTTGAGGTGTGTGTGTGTGGATTACTTAGAAACCAGTGGCTTGATTTTTAGTTTTCCATTGCCTCAGCGCAACTTATCTTGTTTTACTAAAATGCCAAAGTTTAGCGTACCTGTGGCATAGTTTAAATTTTTCAAATGGCCGAATATTTAATGACAAAGGTCTTAACCAACACGAGTTAATGCGATTCATGCAGGCGTAGATAATCGTAGTTTTACACCGCAAATCACAAAGGTTGGCTTGGGCAGGTGATTGAGTTCGACTCCGCAAACTGAAGGTCACACAGTGACTCTGGTTACTATGGCAAAATTATTGATTTTTTACATCCGCGATGGGCTCTAATCGCCAGTGGATTAGCGGTTTACGTAAATTTGTTGTGACTCTAGATGAAAAACTAAATCGATCGACGCATTCGGAGGTAAAATGGCATTTGACTGGAAATTGCATAGTTCATAATTATCAGTAAAATAACAGAATGAACTTCTAATTAAATGCTGTAGGCTTTCTTTTTATAAAGTAGCTGATAATAACAAATTTTTCTGCATAAAATTAGGCTCTCAAATTACACTCTAAAATAGGAGAAAGTGTTTGAATAATTTCCTGAAGGTAGTGATCGCACCGCGTGCTAATAATAACGTGCAATTTGCATGATTACACTCCTGCACGTACAAGTTACCAAATTGTTATGTGGTAAGCTTGCGTTAACCACAAAACAATCTTTAAACCCTATAGAAAATTAACAAGCAGACGATGATTTCAGCACAAAACTGAGGTTAATGACGAGCGCTAGTGAAGATAGCTAATTGCATGTACGACTTCCGCTTGTAACCTTGAGATCTGTGGGCGAAATGTGGCCAGGTTAACGATTAAAAAGCTGACAAAATCATAGTTTTTATATAAAAAACCTTAAAATAATTTTGTTTATTATCTACAAAAGTACTCATTTAAATGCCCCACATTAAATTAACCGCTTCAATAAGAAATACAGATAGTCAAGGTCAAGCGCCTGAGACAATCCGATTCGAATTTGTAGTTGGTTATTCGATCAATTTATTCACATAACTGATGCGATCTTTTTCTCGGTGTACACTGAAGAGGAACAACAAGAATAGTACAAATATCAAAAGCAATCTGACGCAAAACAAATCACGTAGCACTTTCAGTAACAATGAACTTATGCACAAGCTTGCACCAACTCAATTTCAGAATTTGCATTGCTGAATAGATGCCAGTAATTTTTGAATCACAGCGACATAAGCTTCGATGGTAAAACACAGTGACACGAGTCAACCACTAATGCATCTCCAGAATTTCATTCTCGCTACTGGAGTTTTCGTCGTCGGAGAGGAGGTGGCGCTGATCGGTTCTGTTGAAGCTATGGAGCGCTGGCGAGTTTCTCAACGGAAAGCCCATCACGGCAGACGTCAAGCAGATCAAGCCAAACACAACAATGACGTGCCAGATAAACACGTTCGTTGCCCGCGGAATACTCTCAACTGCTTGCTCGTTCCACACCGGCAGCCACGACACCGGAGGGTAGAGAATTGCACCAACCTGGAACGAGATGTTGGTGCAGTGGTCAAAATGTTAGATCATAATATACACGATAGCGTACTGTTGGAGCACACTGACAACAGAACCTGTCCTAGTAAATAAGAATTAAACACATCACACCCGGTCGGTCTCGATCGCGACAAAACTTACATGCCAAAACCAAGTTCCTTGAAGAATCAGGAAAAGAGAGCGTACGAGTCCAAGGAGGAGAGATCGAGGATAAATGGCCTCAAACACACCAACAACAATCAAACACAAAACGGCGTAAATAAGAATGGTATGGACATAAACATCAGCCAGAGTTCTGCCGTGAAGATGAAAGGCAAAGAGAACGGCTTCCGTTGTGATTGCGAGAAAACTGAAGAAGTAATCTGAGAACCTACAGCAGAATATTAAATTAAAATGCATGCATTTGAAAGTTTACACAATTTAAAAAGCCTCACTAATGTTATGTTAAATATAATGCTTCACGATCACAAACAGTGATTTTATTTAAAAAAATAATTGGTGGCATGAAAATAAGAGTCAGCTGCAAAACAATTAATTGTCTTCATACGTACTTGGGTAGCCTTATGATTCGATAGAAATTGATCATTTCCAATATTCCCGATAGCATAAACATGGCATACATTGTCGAGTGTTGAGCATTCCCAATGTGCGCAAAACTTCCATCTTTAAATCCTGTATATACTTCGCCTATTATTCCGATTAGGCAACAAACAGCCTTAAGGAGAGAATCTAGTGGAAATTCTTTTCCTCTGCAGCAGCAACCGCCTTCACAACACCGAATGGGGGTAGTCAGTTGGTTTTTGTAAGCAGGCTCTGGGCGAGGAGACAGGCCAAGTTCATACCTTCGTCTTCGATAATATTTCTTCAGTTGAAAAATGGCTGACCAGATTCCAAACAATAGGAAAAAGCTTCCAGGCAGAGCATGTCCAGCAAAAGTACCCATTCTGTCAGAAACCAAATGGTCGACGTGAACTGAAGGTCGTAAAAAGTCCGATGAATAAATGACATTAAACGAGCAAAAGTAGTACACAGACTGAAAAAAAATCTGATTTTTTTATTATTAAACAAAATCTAAAATCATTACTTGTCAAAACGAGTTAATGTAATTTTTTTTGAATAGATGTGAAATATATATTCTAAGGGCAGCTTTCAATAAGGTCTTTTTTAAAAGGAACTAGATTTACAGAATTTACCTTTTGTTAAGTTAAAGTTCTACTACTTCATACTAAATAATGCAGCATTTAAAATTTTTTTGTAAAAAATATATTGAGGTAAAGATAAAAGCCTCTGGCAAATGAATTGATATACCTTTATTCTAAATTCTAAATATTTGCTTGACATAGTTCAACCTAAATCTAGGACTAAGAGTGATTATAATATTCACACTGTTAGCTGAAGGTATTTAATAACAGGAACAGAGGGTTAAGAATAGGAAACCTGGAAAGGTTATGTCGTTATATTCGATGGCAAAATGTCTTTGGAATTGGGACGTTTTTCAGTTGTCTCAATGATCATTTGCGAAAAAAGAGCTTAGACGGTTACAGATTTTTTTTTAAATTAACACTACTGGCTCAAGACGGTTAACTTTTATCCGTTTTTTAAGGTAAAGGATACAATTTGGAAAAACCGTATCTACCAGACGAGAAATGATCCCGCATTATAGGAGCAAAATTTAGAGTGATTTGCCAAAAACTTAATTTTCGTTAAGATGTTGAAATAGCTTTCATTTTTCATTTATTCAGAGCAAATCAGCATTCAGCGGTATGGGAAATGAACCCCAAGCAAAATCGTCAATTACATAATACGTGGGTCGAATTCATTTACTTTTTAATTAATTGTGACACAATGTTGTTTTACTCTGAAAACAAGTCTTGTAAGGCTTACTGCAATGCTGCAGGCGTTCATACGAATTAATAGTTGATGCCAAAAAAGATATATAAAAGTCGATACAGACAATGGGAATATTATCAATATTTTTGCAGAAGAAAAACGTGGTTAAATAACTTCTAACAAGTGATGAATTTGGATTTTGCTTAATAAT